CCAGTACATTCTCAAGACCCATTTTCCCAACTACCAGAAAGGCATCCTGCCTAGAGCTGCCCTCTTCGATTTCCTTGGTGATGGTATCTTCAACGTCGACCGTGATTCCTGGAAGTTCCAGAGACAAGTTGCCAGCCACGAATTTAACACCAAATCGCTCCGCCGGTTCGTGGAAACCGTGGTTAATACCGAGCTCTCTGACAGGTTAATTCCGAAGCCGCCGAGAACAGGACGGTGCTGGATTTCCAGGACATTCTTCAGAGGTTCGCTTTCGATAACATCTGCAGAATCGCTTTCGGTTATGATCCTGCTTACCTTTTGCCATCTCTGCCACAGGCGGAGTTTGCCCAGTCATTTGACGACGGCACCAACTTGAGCAGTGAAAGAGTCCGGGTTTTTCACCCGATACTATGGAAAATCAAGCGGTTATTTCGAATTGGATCGGAAAGAAGACTCAGAATTGCAACGTCTGAAGTCCGCGATTTCGCTAAGAACATCGTAAGAGAGAAAAAAACAAGAACTCAGACAGAAATCCTCGCTCGAATCAGTGGATCTTTTATCCCGATTCTTGAGTTCTGGCAATTCCAATGAAAATTTCGTTACTGATATAGTTATCAGCTTCATCCTCGCCGGTCGTGACACCACCTCGGCGGCGCTGACGTGGTTTTTCTGGTTAATTTCTAGACACCCAGAAGTTGAATCGGAAATTCTGAAAGAAATTAGAGAGAAATCCGATTCGCTGATTTTCGACGAAGTAAAGGACATGGTTTATACCCACGCTTGTCTCTGTGAGACGATGCGGCTGTACCCACCCGTTCCCACAGACAGCAAATTTGCCATGGAAGACGACGTCTAACCGGACGGAACAGAGGTAAAAAAGGGGACAGCGGTGACGTATCATCCTTACGCGATGGGAAGGATGGAGAGCATCTGGGGATCGGATTGGGCGGAGTTTAAGCCAGAGAGATGGTTGGAGAGGGACGCGGAGGGGAAGTGGAGT